GAGAGAGAGAGAGAGAGAGAGACAGAGAGAGAGAGAGAGAGAGAGAGAGAGAGAGAGAGAGAGAGAGAGAGAGAGAGAGAGAGAGAGAGACAGGCACACACACACAGGCACAACAACACGGCCGCCAACGACTCCTAGTAAGCCACGTACGTGTCGCGATCGCACGAGCGGCAGGAGAGGGTGGGCGTGGCGTCGACAAATGCGCCCTGGGCCCCAACATACGCCTTCCATTGTGTGGTGACAGACGGATGGAAGCCCGTATAAAACGGCGAATACGCGTTGATGCGCGTGGAGGTGTAGTCTGAGCAACCATGCAAGTTTGGTGGGAGGGGAGGTGAGTATTGTGTGTGCGTGTGTGTGTTGGTGTTTTATGTTGCACGTGTGAGTGTACAATGTCCAGTGAGAAGCTGAACATTAGACATCTCATCACACACACACACACACACACTGCCTGGGTGCACGAGGCGACCATAACTTACTTGCGCCAATCGCCCAGAAGTCGTTGATGCGAAAGAGGTAGAGATCCATCTGTCGTTGGCGAGTGAAAATGTAGGTGAGGACGCAGTGTGATATGTCCCATGATGTTGTGGTGAGGCAGTCAGGTTGGAAGGAAGGAGGGAGGGGAGGAAGGAAAAAAATCCCACACACAACACGCGCGTCACTCTTCATGTCATCACAATCACGCGCACACAACATACACCGCAGTACCGAAATTCTCCACCACGACCACGACCACCATCACCACCATCACCACAACCTCTGCCTTGCTGTCTTCACCTCTGGCTGGCGAATGTACACGGGTGCGTCGTCGTGGATGAGGCCGTCTACGGGTGTGTACGTCCCCTCCAAGTCGGGTCGCGGTGTCATGTTGCCGACCACGAGGGAGGGGCACGCCAGCACCTCGCACGTGCCGTCCGGCTGTTCGGTCCGGAAGTCCCGCTCGTCACAGAAGCACTCGAGCGGCGAGCTGGCAGGCAATGTTAGGGGAAGACGGGGGAGAAAGGGAACAGGTTTTGGTCATTGGTTGGAGGTGTGTGAGTGAGTGAGTGAGAGTGAGAGTGTGTGTGAGAGAGAGAGAGAGTGTGTGTGTGTGTGTGTGAAAAATTAGCTGTGCATGTAAAGCAAAGGCCAACCCAAACACCACCACCATCGCCACCACCATCGTCACCAAGGGTCCTTGAATGAGCACCTGCGAGTTGGGCGGCGGCAGTCAGCGCCGGCGGGGCACTCGGACGGACTGCAGTAGTGTCCGTTAAGCTGAGGTGGTGGTGATGACATGAGGACGATGACAGCAATGGAAAGTGAGATGCAGCATGGTGAGTCGCCACCCGCACACACACACAGACACACGGACGCAGACACACAGAGACACAGACACACACAGACACACGGACGCAGACACACAGAGACACAGACACACACACAAAACCGACCGTGGCGTTTTGGCGGGACCAATCCCCTGTTTCCGGATCTCGGACAATCCACGTGTCGAACGTCGACGCGTCCAAGGAGGAGGACAGCACGATTGCATACACCCTGGACCGAGATGAGCAGCAACGTGGTGTCAAGGGGGAGGAGGGGGAGGAGAACATGTAGTGTGTAAGGCGTGTAGTGCGCGCGCGCGTGTGTGTATATGTGTATGAGTGAGAAGGGAAGGAATGAGGTGAATGTGCCGTGGGTTTGAGTGAGGAGATGCACGTCTGCTTCCTGCCGCGCGTGCGAGTATGTGTGTGTGTCACAAAGCACAGGCGCTTACGACGTTGCTGATATGCGAATGGTCCAGTAGTCTGGAAAGGAGAACGAAAACGTCGCAGGCGACAAGTCGCTCACATACGCTGCAAAAGCGCACGAACAAAGCGGGAAAGCACACGCACACGTGGGCACAGCAGTGAGATCGGATGGGAAAACGATGGTGTGATTGCGTGTTTGCATGCGCAAGTGTAGTGGCGTGAAGCGTACGGGGCATCATCATCATCATCATCATCATCATCATCATCATCATCATCATCATCATCATCATCATCATCATCATCATCATCAACAACAACAACAGCAACAACGTACCGTCTGTGATGCCATCTCCCATGCGAACCCAATCGTTGACGAGAACTGGCATCGGGTGATAGCTGGCGATGACAACAACAACAACAACAACAACAACAACAACAACAACAACAACAACAACAACAACAACAACAACAACAACAACAACAACAACAACAACAACAACAACACCCCCATCCCCATCCCCAACAACAACAACAACAACAACAACAACAACAACAACAACAACAACAACAACAACAACAACAACAACAACAACAACAACAACAACAACAACAACAACAACAACAACAACAACAACAGCAGCAGCAGCCATGACAAGTGTGGCAATGTGGTGGTCACAGCATGGTTGTGGTGACAATCGATGGAGGTGAGCGGTGCGGGACGGTAACGTGGTGGAATGAGGCGTGTCAGTCACACACAATGCATGGATAGTCAGCCTCGACCGCAGGCCATATGAACGCACTAGACGTCGATGAGTGTTGGGACGTCCACACTGCAGGTGCCATCATTGTTCTGGAACAAAACCAAAAGGGAGCGCATGAGCTGTGGTGGTTTGCACCAGCGTGCCAATTCTTCGCGCGCGCACACACACGCATACAGAGGCAATTGCACGCACACCAACACTTGTACATGCCTACTTGCACACACTCTCACACACTCTCACACACCCACACCCACACCCACACCCACACACGAACACACGAACACAAATGTGGGGCACCTCTCGCAGGCCGCGTGCTTCGTCGCACGTGCAGACGGGCTGCCCTGTTGGCGACGTGGAGCAGAGTTTGTTCTCCTGTGCACAGCGCTCGTGGTCAGCTTGCTTGCAGGCAGAACACGTCACATTCAGCAGCGAGGAGATGGTCTGTGCACGCGGGTCAAAATGTGCATGTATGTGTTTGGGGGAGGGGGATGGGGTGAGATGGTAAAGCGAGTCAGGTACAACAGTGAGCGTGTCACACAGCTGAGAGAAGCTGAATCAAACCATGTGTATGTGGAGTTGTGTGTGTGTGTGTGTGTGTGTGTGTGTGTGTGTGTGTGTGTGTGTGTGTGTGTGTGTGTGTGTGTGTGTGTGTGCATTGCCAGTCGCCCAGGGCTGGCAGGTGAACGCACTTCTCGATTTTGGTTGTACAGCCACGACAGCGGTTGCGCCGCAGGGTCTGCAATGAATGAATGCCACGTGGAGGTTGGTGGTGGTGGTGATGGTGATTAGTTGTCGACACATCTGCCAATCTGCCAGAGCAAAATGCTCACAGCTGCACAGAGAAAGGAAGAAAGATGCACAACACACAGAAGTGCACACACGCATGCTCACACACACACAGAAGTGCACCCACATACACAGCAGCACCTACACAGAAGCGCACAAATATACACACAGACATACGAACACACACAGAAACACCCACCTTGTGGGGAAGGTACGCTCGGAGAAAGCGCGTAAATGCCTGTCCTCTGCAAGTCATCGGTCACATACCAGCGGAAATTGCTGTCTGACACATCCCTGTTGGTGGAAGCCGAAGATGGGCCAAGGTGACACAGATTGTCAGAAAATGGGGGACAGGACACGCGTGCGCATGTGCAGGCACTAAAACACACACGCGCTAGCGCGCACTGCTTACAAGAAGAGGTAGTCGCCGCCGTTGGCTTGCTGGAACACAGGCGCTCCGTTGCGTGTGGCCACTGCATGAGAATTGGCAACAGCAACATCAACAACGCAAAGGCGTCAGATACGTTGAGGAACCCACGTACGTTGGTGACACCCAAACACGCGTTGACCGTCCTCTAACTCACACAAGTGCGCACCCTCAAACGTGCACAGACACAGACACACACACACACACAGACACACACACAGACACACACACACACACACATTCTCCACCTGTCCGCTCGTAGGGAGCCAGCAGCCTTGTGGCGCTGTGTCGGGTCAAACAAGAGCCAAAGCGTGATCGTGTCACATGAGTCGATGGAAGGGATAAGGGTGGAGATGCAAAACGCGCAAATGGTGGCAGTGCACACATTTAACCATGAACACACACATGTGCACACACACATGTACAAAAACACACACAAACACACAAACATGTACACAAACACACACACACACACACAACGCACACACACACACGCACACAACGCGCGCACACAACAACAACAACAACAACAACAACAACAACAACAACAACAACAACAACAACAACAACAACAACAACAACAACAACAGCAACAACAACAACAACAACAGCAACAACAACAAACTCACAAGCCGGGGCGCATGCCGCGCAAGGTGACGGAACGACACGAGGGGTCATACACAGATTGCACCGCGTATGCGCACTGCGGTGCGAGAAAACACAGCTGCATCATCACCAGCACAGCCACGCCAACGACAGGCGTGCATGGTGCGGCTGCCGCTGCAACCGGTCTTCTTCTCCTCCTCCCAAACATCATCATGGGCATCTGTGTCATTGTCACTTCGCCAACACCCACACACCACCACCAAACAACCCAAACAAGCTTCTTGGGATGGAGGATTCTCGCGCAAATTGGACCACGGCATGCGACACCATTAACAGTAGACCAATATCGCAGCGATCCAGCCACTGGCATATCCCCTCTCCTGCCTGTTTCCCTACATCTTCCTCCTCTCCTCTGGCGTTCTTCCTCTTGCTCTGCTCCTCCTCCTCCTTCGCCTACACACACTCAGGATGGCGTTTCAACACCGACACGTGGACATGTAAGCGTGGTGGCCTTTGTGTGCTTGTTCTTGCGCTTGCGCTTGCGCTTGCGCTTGCGCTTGTGCACCCATGCGTCGCAGCACCGACAGCCACCAGCTCACGGACCTGCGTTTTCTTTCCCTCGTTTTTTGCCACCGTCGTTCATCCCCCTGTCACTTCCTCACGTACCGTGCTGTTGTGCTTTTCGCCCTGTATGACCTGTTGTAGCTTCCCAAACTCCAACTACAAGATCCTCAAGGATGACTCCAAGACGGAGCCAAAGTCGTACGTTGTGCCAGCTTTGTCCTTGTGACCGCGAGTGCATGCGGAGACAACACGCGTTCAATATTGCAGCTTTGACACGCCCTGACGTGTAGCCGCATGCACACAGCTAAACTATTTCAGTGTCAGAGAGTGAATTGTAAATGCACACGCACACACACTCGCTGACAGCTGCGCTGTGTCGTGCATGATTCAGGGCCATGGACGAGAAGCTGATGGCATTGATGCACAAGTTCAACGAGACCGGTCTTGTGGAGACCATGCAGCTCGTCATGCTTGTGGAACAGCACGGGCACCCACACGTGCTTCTTCTCCAACCCCACCCAAAGTTCTCCCTTCTGTAAGTGCAAGGAGCTTGGGCGGCGTCCTTTGCTGCCTCGCTTTCATCCTTGGTGCAGGCTGCTCTTCTGCATATCCTTCTCGCTGCCCTTGTCCATCCTCCATCCACATACGTTCTCGCGCTCGTGAACGCCCATTCTGACACATATGCGTACGCCTGTTGCCGTCGCCTGCAGGCCACACACAGAGATCAAGCCGGACGAAACGAGCAAAGAGACGGTGCACAGAATTCTTCAGGAGGTGCGTGCACAACGGAGCGTGCTTGCTTGTTGATGGCAGCCTCTCTCTCTTCTTTCGTTGCACGATCACCACCTCCACCAACTCTGTCTGCATGACCGCCTCTCTCATCCTCTCGTCGTTGCGTGTGCATATGCAGCAATTCCAAGTGGCTGAGCCGGCGTTGAACCAGTTTCGCATCGTTGACCTTGCTGCCGTGTGGTGGAGACCGCACTTTGAGCAGCCAACGGTGTGTGTGTGTGTGTGTGTGTGTGTGCGTGTGTGTGTGTGTGTGTGTGTGTGTGTGTGTGTGTGTGTGTGTGTGTGTGTGTGTGTGTGTGTGTGCCTGTTCGCCTGTCCGCCTGTCTTGTGGCCCCGGGTTTGCCTGTCACTTCTCCCATCGATCACTTATCACATCACCCCCCCCCCCTTCCCGTTCTCCAACGCTATGTCAGTACCCGTACCAACCGCCACACGTGACTAAGCCCAAGGAGCGCATTCAAGTCGTCCTCGTGCAGATGCCAGAGTCATGTACGCCCAATGTGCAGCTGATTGGTTGTTGTGACATGTTGCTGGAAAACCTGTTCACAACACGATTCACTCTTGGGAACAATTATTACCCACCCCACTCACTCACTCCACCACTCACTTACTCACTGACTCACTGACTCACTGACTCACTGACTCACTCACTTACTCACTCACTCACGCACTCACACCAGGCGACTTTGTTGTTCCCGGGAATGGAAACGTGCGCGCGGTGCCACTGATTGAGCTGTACGACAACAAGGAGAGCTTTGGTCAACTCATCGCAACACTCCCGCAAACCCTCAGCAGGTCGGCAAACCGAGTCTGTCTGTCTGTCTGTCTGTCTGTCTGTGTATGTGTGTGTGTGTGTGTGTGTGTCTGTGTGTCTGTGTGTCTGTGTGTCTGTCTGTCTGTCTGTGTGTATTTGTGCTAATGTGGATGCAAGCAGTGCTATCTATCAAGTATTCAACGTTCCCCTCACATCCCTGCGCTCCCACACAAACAACACGCACAGATATGATGTAGAAATGCACAAGGACGACTTCAGTTAGACGCGCCGGCACCACGTATCCGACAGCCAGCTCACTCATCGCCATCAGCAAACCATCACAACACCTCCAACCAACACCAACACCAACAGTGTTGTTGCTTTCAGTGTCATCACACCACTGTTCCTGTTCTTGGCCGTCCAAGTGAAATGAAACACGCACCCAATAGCCCACAGCCAACGTCCAAGCAGCAAGAAGCAAGCAATGTGTGTGTGTGTGTGTGTGTGTGTGTGTGTGTGTGTGTGTGTGTGTGACGCGACTTTCAATGCCAGCTTCAGCGAAACAAAGAGTCCATGAAGACTGGAGAAGGTGAGAGAGCCGTGTATGTGTACGAGACAGACAATGGCAACCTGGCACAAAACAAAACGTGCAGAATGCCCAACCTTCTAATCAACATAGAGCGACAACGACACAGCACACCAAAACAAGCACGAGCAGGACAAGTAACAACACAGGACTGTGGGTGCAGCAGCAACCAGAAACACCGACAATATAACAAAGAAGAAAAGAGGGGGGAGGGAGGGAAAGAGACAAGAGAAAAAGGGAGCGAAAATAGAAGCGACAAGAGAGGGGAGGAGAGAGAGGTTGTGAAAGAGACAAAAGACAAGGGGTGAAGAGGGGAGAAGAGAGAGAGAGAGAGTGTGTGTGTGTGTGTGTGCAGGAAAGGCTGGCAAGAGCCACCACCATAAACGATGGCGTGGGACGCGCCTGCATCTTGCGTTAGGTTTCTAACGACACCTGGTGTGTTGGTGGTTGGTTTAGATGCTGTCAAAGTTCTTGTCGCGAGCGGCGTCCTGAGAGAACATGTACCTGCCATCCCCTTGTTGGGGAACCAGGCCCTCAATCTCTTGCTCCTGTTGTTGCATCAGTTGTGGTGTGTGTGTGAGATAGTGAGAGTAAGAGTGTGTGTGCGAGTGTGTGCGAGTGTGTGAGAGAGTGTGTGTGTGTGCGAGTGTGTGTGCGAGTGTGTGAGTGAGAGTGAGAGTGTGTGCGAGTGTGTGAGTGAGAGTGTGTGCGAGTGTGTGAGTGAGAGTGAGAGTGTGTGTGCGAGTGTGTGTGCGAGTGAGAGAGTGTGTGTGTTTGTGTGTTTCGCGTGAGGACACAGGTAATGGTGAGACGTGTGAGATGCAGCATCGTGCGGTGTGACAGTGCTGTGTACGCATGTATATATGGGATGCGGATGCGGATGCGTACCGTTTCGCTGAAGAACGTGTCTGAGAGCGACGCTGCCTGTGCGCTCACTTCTGCATCCTGGTGGTCAATCAACGGGTACAGCGTATCCAAGACTGCTCAAACACGGCACACACAACGCGCATTACGGCGGTGAGACAAACCGCAGGGCTGTGACAATGAAACATCAGCACGAGGGAAACCCCACACGCATACACGTATACACACAAACAAAAATGCTCCAGCACAATGTTGAAAGCCAAGCACAATGTTGAAAGACAAGCACTCACTCTCACTCACTCACACACACTCTCTCTCTCGCTTGCATGCATGCAAGAAGACACACACTCTCTCGCTCGCATGCAAGAAGCACACACACACGAAGAGATACTGACATCCAATTTCTTCGAGGCGGGAGACGACAGTGTTGCTGGAAAACTCCTGCTGGTTGACAAGCTGCTCGCCACGCTGCAGCAGCATCTCCAAGGCCTCAAGGAACACCTTCAGCGCCTTCTTGTCCTGGTGTCATCACGCACGGCAGCAGCACGAGATGAGCACAAGCCACACAGCCGTACTCGCGCAGCTACAAGGAAACAAATGCAGCCGCAACGAAGCAAACGCACACACACATGCCCACGTACATATACACGAGCACATTCCTTCCCCACCCCCACTAACACTGGCGAACGAACCATGTTGAGGTTGAGGACAAGGGCAATGGCGTCGAGACCGCCGCTCTTGAGCACGTAGTCGCGGTGGCGCGGCAGGCCCTGCGTGCAGATGTTGCACAGGCACCAGGAGGCGTCCTGCTGCACCTTGCTCACGGGGTCCTCGAGCGCAAGGTTCACCAGCGCCGTCAGCAGGTTCTCGTGAATCACTGCAAGGAAAACGACGCACCAAACAAGAGAGCAAACAAGGTTGTTATTGTTGGGGGAGGGAGAGGTGAGGGGAGGTAACGCGGTCAATCGGCACATCACGTGAGCGAAAGTGGCTACACAATCAACATCGTGTGCATGCAACACGTGCGTGCGTATGTGGTACAGGTTAACCACTACCAATAAGACCATTGCCACCACCACCACCACCACCACCACCACCACCACCACCACTGCCACCATGATCATTGTTGCTTCTGCCTTGCTCACCGGCATCAATCTGCTCCTCGCTGCCTGCGCAGATGTTGGAGAGGGTCCAGCAGGTGTCCTTGCGGATGTTTGCCTTCTTGCTGTGGAACAGCTGGTGGCATAGCGGGAGCAGGCCAAGGTCAATCACAGCCTGCGTCTGCTCGTCCTCGCCAGCGGTTATGCTGCCGAGCGCACGCAGCGCTGGGAGCTGTGGCGTGTTCGGGTGAGGAAGGCGGGGGGGGGGGGGTTGATGTGAGATGCAGGGAGAGGGAGGAAGAGACACGTGCGAGAAATGTACGAAGACCACACACACACATGCGTGCACATGAAGAGTCTTCACATGAAACGCCTTTACACAACGCACACGCCAACCGGCAAGGACGCGCAGCAACAAGAACCGCACCTGTGCCATGTGGGACTCGAGGCTGAGAATCTGGATGAAGAGGGGCCCAAACTCGCGGCAGATGGGGTCGAGAAAGTCGTCAAACGCCTCGGCAATGTAGCAGACTGTAAAGGCAAGCAACAACAACAACAACAACAGCAACAACAACAACAACAACAACAACAACAACAACAACAACAACAACAACAACAACAACAGCAGCAGCAACAACAACGACGACGACGAGGGTCGAAAAGAAGAGGGCCGAGAGAGGAGGCAACAATTGTCAGGGGAACGTGGGTCCAACAAATGGGAACGTTTACTCTCAGCCAACAAGAAGGTGCTATCATTAAATCAAGCAATCTGGACACGCGCATTGCGAGCAACACTTACTTGACCAGCAGACGTTTGCGAGCACCTCCGGGTCCTGTGTGCGAACGCGGTGGGCAAGCACGGGCAGCGCCTGCGTCGCACGTGACGTTATGCAGCAAAACCAAGCGCAACACAAGGGGGTGAGTTGAAGCACGCACGAGGAGCACCAGCTCATCGCATTCCTGGTCATCGCGTGCACACCAGAAACCAGTACAGGCGCTCACCTGCTGCATGGCCTCTGCTGGCGCAGGGGGGTTGCGCCACCTGAAGAAGTTGGACAGTGTCCACGACACGTTTCGCAAAATGTCCTGAAGCAAGCCGAGGCAACGGCAAAAAAGCAGAAACAAGGAACCGTTGATGGTGTTAGCGGGGTGTGGTGGGATGGCATGGGTTGTGTTGTGCTGTGTTTTTGGTGTGTTTGAGGCGGAAGAAAAGCACAATCACAAACAGGAGCACACACACACACACAGGTACGCACACAGGTACATAAGCACACGCACACAGGTACATAAGCACACACACACACACAGGTACATAATCACACTCACACACGCACACACCATGCACACAGATTTGTACCAGGTTTGTCTCCTCGCCGAGCATGATGATAAATTGGTTGAGTGCACCCTCTTCAATGAGCATGTCGCGGAGATCCGCGCCATCACCAGCCACGTTGCCGAGACACCAGCACGCCTGATCCTTCACACGGTCAATGGGTGACAGCAGCAATCGGCACAGCGGCTGTGCTGCTCCAGCCTCCACAACGGACATGGTCTGACAGCCAAAGAGGAAGGGGAAACGAGAACCAACGGTCAAGGAACAAGCGAGTGAGCTGGCGCCAAACACACGAGCATGCACGCACGCGCACGCACACGTGCACATGCACACACGTGCACATGCACAAACCTGGTGTGGCTCGCCGGAGGATACGTTGGTGAGGACCCAAGCAGCCTCGTATTGTGTGTCAGGGGCATGATCCCACCCAAGCATTTCCACCATCTTCGGCAGCACGCCAGAGCTGTGGTCGCAACACCGGTGATGGTTGAAGAGGTGAGAACACGCACAAGATGCACACGTCATGACACACAAAACGCAACAGCTGCTGCGCAAGCATGCCCAGCGCACACAGCCTTCCCCCTCCCACCATCCATCGCGCTTAAAGCTCCCACAAAGCGCCCATCCCTTCTCTTCTCACAAAGCGCACAACAGCGCATGCGTGCGCTCGCATACACACTTGATGGTGGCCTGGATGGGCAGGGTTTTGTTGTTGGCGAGGTGCTTCCGCAGCTGCACGAGCGCAGCAAACTGTGTGCTCTGATCGAGGTCGTTCTGGATTTGTGGCGCCAATTGAAGGATGGCCTGACCCACGTCTGTTTGCGTGAACTGCTCCACCTGCTGCTGGAACTCCTCCAAGTCACGGCGCTTCTCCTGCTTCTCGCGCCTCTTGTCCTTGCGCAGGGACACGGCAAACTCACGGCGCTTGCCGCGGTGCTCGCCGGCCTTGCCTTTGTTCTTGTAGTCAAACAACCGATCTCCCATGATGCCGGTGAGGTGAGTGGTGATGGACTCTGTGTGTGTGTGTGTGTGTGTGTGTTTGTGTGTGTGTGTGTGTGTGTGTGTGTGTGTGTGTGTGTGTGTGTGTGTGTGTGTGTGATGTGTCGATGGACGGATGCGGTTTCCGCTGTCCTCGTCTCTCTCGCTGTCTCAGTTCACGCAAGCGTGATGACGTGCAACTGCTTTGGCTGCTGTTGTGACTGCGGGTAAGCAGAGACACAAAACCACAAGAAGAAGCTGACTGCCTGCAACTGCAAGTCGAGACTCTGTCTCTGTGTCTGAGGATGCTCCCCTGTGTGCTCGGCGCTGTGCGTGTGTGTGTGTGTGTGTGTGTGATGTGGCGGAAAGAGCAACTGTCTGCGCGCCTTGCTTGTCTTCTTGTTCGCCTTGTTGCTTGTGTGCGTGCGCAGACAGAGAAGAAGGGCGACGGTTTTTGGGACGTGCCTGTTGCCGCGAAAAACGAGCAGGCGGAGAATCTGTTGGAGTTTTGGGTGAATCGACCGAATCGCTGAAGCCCGATTTTCAGTGCTCCAGCCACGCTTCGAGCATGAGGAGGGGGCGACTGAGCAAGTACAGGGCACCTCACACACCCGGTCCGGGCGACAGAAAACCTGCGAAAGACGCCCGGAACCACAAACGCACTCCCAATTTACCACACAAAACCGAAACCGTTCAGCCAAAGACAGAGGAAGACAGGGACGAGACAACTACTGCTGCTGTGTTGGCTGATATCGACAGCGCTGCTTGTTTGATTGGCTGCGCTGGGCTGTGGCAGAACCACGACCTTGCAGAGTGCCCCTGCTGCACCAACACAACACACGCTGAACAAGGACTCGCCTGACAGCGCGACAGTCAGAGAGAGTGTGTGTGAGTGTGTGAGAGAGCGCGCGCACAAGTGTTGACCGGGCGCGAGAGAGCGTGCATCAGCACCAACAACACATCCAACAACACATCCACACAGAGACACAACCATGGCGGCAGCTTCGGCGTGGATCGTGGCGCTAGCACTTGTGGCTGCGCTGTGCTGCAGCCCTGCCATCGCAGATGAGCACGATCACAAGGTGTGCGTGTGTGTGTGCATGTAGGTGTGTGGGTGTGGTTCATTCGTCCTGTGCTGTGTTGTGCTTGTTGCAGATGATTTGGAAGGCGTGAAGCGGAGCTGATTTTGGAGATGAAGCACACCAGCAGCCGTTGTTGGTCTTGTTGCGTCCCCACACCAACTCATGCGCACGCACTCCCACTCCCACACCTGCACTCACGCGCACGCGCATACACTCACATGCATGGCACACACAGTACGATCACGGCGAGGAGCTCGTGCTTTGGATGAACACAGTTGGACCGTACCATAACCGACAAGAAACGTACTCGTTCTTTACCCTGCCGTTCTGCAAAGGCCCAAAGAAGGCCATCTCACATCACCACGAAACCATCGGCGAAAACCTTCAGGTACCCAATCCAGCTCGCACACCTGCATGAAACCTTGCCTCTTTATTCTCCTTCTCCTTCTTCGACGTGCTGTTGTTGTTCTTGTTGTTGTCGTCGTTGTTGTTGTTGTTGTTGTTGTTCTTGTTCTTGCTCCTGGTATGCGCTACAAACATTTTCCACGCTCATACCTGGCATCCTTTCTGCCCGTTTGCATGTGGTTGCTTGTGTCTTCGTCAATTGTAGGGTGTGTCCCTCCAGTTCAGCGGCCTGGACATGAAGTTTGGCAGTAAGTTGCTGATGCCAGCATGCGTGCATGCTCGTGTGTGTGTGTGTGTGTGTGCGTGTGTGGATGTGTGTGTGTGTGTCAGCTGAGGACATCGTCCATCATCTTGAGGGGTCTCATTCTTCTCCTTCAACCCATGGTTTGATCTCACCCTCTTACCTGCTGTGCTGCGGCATGGGTCGTTTCATTTGCAGTCAATGTGCCAACAACCGAGTTCTGCTCTGTGGAGCTCACAGAGAAGAAGTACAAGGCGTTCCGCTACGCCATCAAGAACCACTACTGGTGCGCATCGTTTGTGTGTGTGTGTGTGTGTGTGTACCTGTGTGTGGTTTGTGTGTCTATCTGCCTGCCTGTCTGTCTGTATACGTGTGAGCCGTCTACTTGCCCCTTCTCCGGTGTGCGTGCCAAGCGACGTCCTGCGTCGGCGCCACATCACGCTTGTACTTGCTCTCAACCCTGCCACACCATACCACACACCTCTTCCATCCCCGCAGGTACCAGATGTATCTGGACGACCTGCCCATGTGGGCGCTGGTGGGTGACTTTGGCGCCGGTCACAACGACAAGGAGCGCAGCACCGACACAATGTTCATCTGGACGCACAAAAAGTTTGATGTCGGCGTCAATGGCAACCGCATTGTGGACGTCAACGTCACCACGGGCAAGCGCGTGCCGCTCAAGCCAGGCATCACCCTCCACTTTACATACGAGGTTCGTGTGTGTTTGGAGGGGGGAGTTATGTGTGGGTGGGTGGGTGCGTGTGTGTGTGTGTGTGTGTGTGTGTGTATTTGTGTTTGTGTGTTGGGGCCGTGTGTAAACTCACCAAAGCCCATCCCTTTCTCTTCCTCCCTTGTACATGTGCGCTGCAGGTCAACTTCAAGCAGTCGAAGGTGTCGTTTGACAAGCGCTTTGACAAGTACCTCGACCCCCACTTCTTTCAGCACAGGGTGCGTCCACCGCGAGATTGGCTTCTGTGTGTGTGTGTGTGTGCGTTTAAGGTGTACATTGCATGCAATTCATGCATGGCGCAGCGTGTTTTTCGCCGGCCCCTCACACTCGCACGTGCACACTCGCACACGTACGCGCGCACAAACCACTGTTTGCTGCAGATCCACTGGTTTTCCATCTTCAACAGCTTCATGATGGTCATCTTCCTTGTTGGCCTCGTCACCATGATCCTCATGCGCACCCTGCGCAAGGACTTTGTTCGCTACAGCAAAGACAACGAGCTCGACGACATTGTCAGTGGCCACCCCAGCTGAGTGCTGTGTTGTGTATGTGTGTGTGTGTGAGGGGTGTGCGTGTGAGGTGTGTGTTTGCGTGTGTGCGTGAGGTGTGTGTGAGAGGTGTAAGGTTTGATGCGTGGACGTGCTTGGTGTGAAGATGGTGGAGGATACAGCCTTGGGTGTTGTTTTCCTGGCGCGTTGCCTTGTGTGATCATGCACCACCACCTCCACCACTACCATATCTCACATGCCCTCCCTTTCACCCATATGTGCTACTTCTTGTCTTCCCCTCCTTCCCCTTGTTCCGACCTGCACGGCTGTTGTGTGTGTGTGTATGTGTGTGCAGGAGCGGGACCTTGGGGACGAGTACGGGTGGAAGCAGGTGCACGGAGACGTGTTCCGGCCGCCAGACAACGTCATGCTCTTCTCTGCGCTCGTGGGCACGGGCTACCAGATTGCCTTTGTCGCCCTCTGCGTCATCCTCTTTGTTATCATGGGTGACCTCTACACAGAGTGCGTTGCTCTTGCTTTGGCCCGACGGAAAATCTGGGCGGCGGTGTCAGAGAAAACATCTCTGCGTGTGCCTGTGGGTGTGTGTGTGTGTGTGTGTGTGTGTGTGTGTGTGTGCCTGTGGGTGTGTGTGTGTGTGTGTTTGTGTGTGTGTGTGGGTGTGTGCGCGCGCTCCTCTTGCTGCGTTTGTTGCTCTTGCTTCAGAGCGTCACCTTTAGCTCACTGCAACAGCCACAACAACCACTCTTTCCATGTGCGTGTTGCTCCGTAGGCGCGGGTCTGTGTTGACAACGGCCATCTTCGTGTATGCCGCCACGTCCCCGGTCAACGGCTACTTTGGCGGTGGCCTCTACGCCCGCCTCAAAGGTGTGTGTGTGTGTGTGTGTGTGTGTGTGTGTGTGTGTTCGAGCATGCGTTTGCTGGAGCATCATCCTCGCCTCGACCTGCTCATACTCACACGCATTGCCGTGCACGCACCACCACACACACACACACACACACACACACACACACACACACACACACACACACACACACACACACACACACACACACACACACACACGGCAAATACCCGCATCCAACCACTCCCTCTACAATGCCTGCAGGCACGCAGTGGATCAAGCAGACGCTACTGAGCGCGCTGCTCATGCCGGCTGTTGTCAGCACTGCCATTCTGCTCGTCAACTTTGTCGCCATCTACTACAACGCCTCTCGCGCCATCCCGTTCACCACAATGGTCAGCGCACCATGCGCGCGTGTGTGTGTGTGTGTGTCGATGTCGATGTCGGTGTCTGTGCCTGTGTCTGTGTGAATCGGGTTGATCCACCCGCTCTGTGTGCCATGCCCTTCCTTGTTTCTGCAAACTGCGATCTTTCCAATTCCACCATGTTGCACAACGCCTCTCACATGCCCCCTCCCCCACCTCTCCACCTCTGTCCAACCAAACCGCACCTGCAGCTGGTGGTTGTGTGCATTTGGCTGTTTGTGGTGCTGCCGCTGACGCTGGTCGGCGCCGTGCTCGGGCGCAACCTTGCTGGCACCATGGACATTCCCTGCCGCATCAACCCCGTGCCCCGGCCCATCCCGGAGAAGAAGTGGTTCATGCACCGCTGGGTCATCAGCCTGCTTGGCGGCCTCCTCCCCTTTGGCTCCATCTTCATTGAGATTTACTTTGTGTTCACCTCGTTTTGGGCGTACAAGGTGTACTACGTGTACGGCTTTATGCTCCTTGTCTTCCTCATCCTCACCATTGTCACCGTCTGCGTCACCGTCGTCTGCACATACTTTCTCCTCAACAGCGAGGTCAGCGTGCTCGCTGTGTGTGATTTGGGTGTTGGGAAGGGGGTGGACGTGTATTGGCTTTGTGTCTTTTTTTTGTGTGAGTGTTAGTGTGTGTGTGTGTGTGTGTGTGTGTGTGTGAGTGTTAGTGTGTGTGTGTGTGTGTGTGTGTGTGAGTGTTAGTGTTTGTGTGTGATTGTATGTGTGTGTGTGTTTGTGTGTGTGTGTGTGTGTGCGTGTGTTGTTCTGGCTCGTGTTTGTGGTGGATGCGTTTTGTTTGCCCTCTCATTCTCCCCGCTGTAGCCTCACGCGCACCCCATCCCCTTCCCTTCGCTCCGCTTCACACCACCACCACCACCTCTCCAACCCGCACATGTTCAGGACTACCGGTGGCACTGGACGGCGTTCCTCTCGGGCGCGTCAGTGGCGCTGTATGTGTACATGTACTCGTTCTACTACTATGTGATGAAGACCAAGATGTCGGGCGCCTTCCAGACGACCTTCTACTTTGGCTACAGCGCGCTGTTTGCCCTCGTCGTCGGCCTCATGTGTGGTGAGTCCCGCAAGTGTTGCTCGTGCTTTGAAGAGGGGGGAGGGGTGGTGGCCGGGTGTGTTTGCAGTTTCGGTGGTGGGAACAACAGCACGGGGGTGTGCGTGCCTCTCTGTGTCTGTCTCTGTGTGTTGTGTGTATGCTTAGGGCAATCGCTGTCATCGCAGCGGTATGCGGGTTGCAGTTGCATTCATCACACACACACACACACACACACACACACACACACACACACACACACACACACACACACACACACACATTCCACAGGTACGTTTGGGTACGCTGGCAGCAGCGTGTTTGTGTATCGTATTTACAAGAACCTCAAGCTGGACTGAGAGCAGTGGCGCCCTTCTTGCTTCCTTCTTCCCCTCCCTTCCCCCATCCTTGTCTCTCCCTTCGTTCCTTCCTTTGCATGCGTGCGTGTGTGTGTGTGTGACTGTCTGTGCGCTTGGTTCGTTCCCGCCCTGCCCTTGTTGGATATCCCCCTCCCTCTTTCCCATGCTACCTTGAACCACCATTCCCCCCCCCCATGCTCCCTCCCAACCCCTCGCTGCTTCCCCTCGTCTTCATTCGTAGTAGAGAGCTTGCGTTGCCGTCACCGCACTGTCACCAGTCAAATCAAGCAGCAGGAACCAACAACCAACAGCAGCTGTCAACGTGAAATATGCAGTGTGTCCCTCCTCACGTTGTAGGTGTGTGTGACAATGATCGTGATCGCTGTAGTCGATGGTTTGTATTGGTTGGGGCAGAAAGCTATTGCCGTACGAGTTGTGGTAGGGAATACACTGGTTGGAAGAATGAATACGCAACACAGTATCAGTTCGCTCATGGCAGGGTAAGTCACACATTCACTTGGTCTCCGACGTGTATGACCATGAGTGAACCAAACCATTCTGGTCACTTGACGTGTAGGCTCGTAAGTCTCGTGATGAGACAATTCCTTTGTTCCTGCTGGGCTTCTCCCAGAACACCATAAATCTTAGTGAGTTCTCCCAACTCTCTAACAGCAGCAGCAACACGAACAAGCAACGACAGTGCACAAACAAACAAACCGCACGTTTCACACACGATGATGGACAGCAGTGTGGTGGTGCTGGATGACGGCCCTCAAGGGCAACAACAGCAGGCGCAGCAGCAGCAGGTTGGGGTTGTTGGGGGCGCTGTGGACCTAGCACAGGACGATATTGAGGGCGCACCACGCAGCTTGCATTGCATTGCAACGCTGCAAGATGGCCATGCGTTTGCGGTTGCTGGCAACTATCACCCTGTTGTCTTTGTGTGTCGGCTCCCAGTCCCACCAGCCGCTGACCCATCAGGTGTGTGTATGTGTGTATGTGTGTCTGTGTATCTGTGTGTCTGTGTGTATGTGTGTGTGTCTGTGTGTGTGTCTGTGTATCTGTGTCCATGTGTGTCTGTTCCTGTGTCTGTGTGTCTGTGTGTGTATCTGTGTATCTGGGTGCAGGTGTGTCTGTGTGTATGTCTCCATCCCTGTGCATCTCCATCCCTCTATCCTTCCACCTGTCCGCCCTTCCACTTGTTTCTCCCCCTTCCCGTCCTCACCCCTCACCCCCTTCCTCCCCAACTCCAACTCACTCCACCCTCTCCTCCCTCACTCCTCTCTGACTCCACGAACCCCGTTCACCGCCGTACAGACGATGTGAGCGTGCATCGCCTGTATGGCCACCTGGCTGGCGTTACTGCGTTGGGCGCCACAGGCAGCTACCTTGCATCTGGCAGCAAGGACTGCACCGTCAAGGTGTGGAACCCCGTCGACCTCACCTGCGTTCGCTCCCTCCACCTGCACAACTCCGCCATCTCCGTGGTCAAGTGGCTCGCGGATGGCTACCTGGCCACCGCGGATGAGGGCGGCGGCCTTGCGCTGTGGGACATCCAAGACTACGACCACCCCACCCGCTTCGATGCGCATCAGCGCGCCATCACCGCCATCGAGGTCGTCTCCCCGTCCCTCTTCGTCTCCGGCGACAACACGGGCAAGCTCGTCTTCTGGACCGAGGACGGCAACCGCAAGCGGGAGCACGGCGCGTGCATCGACGCAACGGCACACATCACGGGTGCAGCCGGTGTCCCCGACGGCATCATCATCATCACCGCCGCCGACCAACGGCTGCGGCTGTGGTCGAGCAAAGGTGACCCGCTCAAGGACATGCGGGTGTCGTTTGACTACTCGCGTGACCAGCGCTGGTCCATCAGCCACCTCGCCGCCGGGCCACAATGCTCCCTCTACGTTGGGCTCGACCAATTTGCGTGCGACACGGAGATGAACGACCAGATGGTGCTGCGTCTCGTCTACGACATCAAGCAAGGGTTCACGCAGGAGCAAGGCTTTGCGGCGACGGCAGCGGGCACGAGTGACTCCGTCGGCCGCATCACAGCACTTGCCATCTCGCCCCTCGACAGCACCGTGCTGGCCGGGTGCGAGAAGAAGTATGCCTTTGCACTTGACCCGGCGTCCCTGTCACCAACGACGCCAACAGAAGGCCCGTTCGACGGCAACATATCAGGCATTACGTGGCTTGCAGACAAGGCATATGCCGCCGTGACAGTGCAAGGGGAAGTGTTTGTCAGGTTGCCGTCCGGCCCCAAAGACGTTCACCTCCCCACCAGAACCGTATCTGTTGTTAACGTGTAGTGTGTGTGTGTGTGTGTGTGTGTGTGTGTGTGTGTGTGTGTGTGCGTAGTGTGTGTGTGTGCGTAGTGTGTGTGTGTGTGTGTGTGTGTGTAGTGTGTGTGTGTGTGTAGTGTGTGTGTGTGTGTGTGCGTGGTGTGTGTGTGTGTAGTGTGTGTGTGTGTGTGTGCGTAGTGTGTGTCTGTGTGTGTGTGTGTCATTATGTGTCTCTGTGTCTGTCTGCCCTTCTCCCCCCCCCCCTCTCTCTCTCTCATCCGTCTCCCGTTCTATCGCTCGCTCTCTCTCTCTCTTCCTCCCCTCCTCAACATCCACCACCGTGTACATTTGACCAACCCAACCGCATATACGCTCCAACCCAGCGAGTGTGTGGCAACGGAAAGAGAGCAGCATCGTCTACTGTTTGGGACAGGTGACGTACACACGCACACATGATAAGAAACGGTCCGTACATACCCACAAAGCTTGAGAAACAACACAAGAAGGGACAAAGGAGAGATGAAACACAGGCACGAACACCACTGCCACGGCCACCACAATCACTGCGAGGTCAGACACACACACACACACACACACACACACACACACACACACACACACACACACACACACACACACACACACACACACACAAATTCCCAAAGCAACCCCGGCAGCGTGAACTAGTGGTGCGGCGTCAGGAGCGGGTCTTCGTCCAGATATGGCATGCGAGAGTTGCGGTCCTCAAACGTGCCGCCACGACCCAACACCATCAGATCATCCGCACGCGCCAGACAAAGCTCATACGCATCGTTGCCCGCAAAGTCACGATACGCACTGAAGGTCATGAGACAGCTCACCACGTGGTCCCAGTACGTCAAACACGAGAACAGGTGGATGGGCGTGTCGCTCGCACCAACGGGCAGAGCAACCGTTTGCGATTGCAGCGTACCACGCACCCAGTCGCCACCCCACATGTTGCTGTACTCCTGCAAACTGACAGGGAAGCCCCTCGCACGGTTGAGCGCCCACGACTGCGCTGCTGATGCCGCCGTTGCTGGGCCAACACCAGCACCGCCCTTCGAGGTGGTTGTTGTCGTCGTCGTTGTCGTTGTCGTCGTGGTGGTTTTCTTCGTGGCCCCGTCCTTGCTCGTGGTGGTCTTTGTTGACGTTGTCTTCGTGCTGCCGCCACTACTGTCGCCTTTACCAGCACCGCCCTCCTCCTGTCTGCCATCGCCCTTGCCTCCCTTCGTGTCCGCAGCGCCGTCCGCGCCCGGTGGCAGCGGCACCTCCTCCGCGTGCACGTCCTCAAACGCATCCACAACCGCTGCCTTGATCTTCTCCGACAGGTCCTCGGCAGTGTCCGCCTTTGCGCCCTTGCAGATGACAAGGGCGAGCGCAGCGCGGTGGTCTTCAACAGAGAGGTTGCCCAGGTCATCGAAGCGCACAAACACGCGCACCAGCCGCTCAGAGGAGACAGATGGCAGCACAGACACGCACGGCACCTTGCCCAGCCACAGCAGCAGCAGCGCGCGGAACTCGGTCACAATTGGGCGCAGCGAGAGCTTGTTGGTGGGGCCAACGCCGAGCGTGCTGCCGTTGAAGGGCAGCGCAGTCGTGTTGATCACGTGCGGGTATGTCACAATGTTGTCAATGAGCGTGGCAACCCAGTGCCGCGACACCGTGCCCTCCACGCACAGCTTGGCAACAAAGTGGAACCAGCTCGCCAGGTTGCACGACAGGATAAAAGAGGACGGCGCCGTGCAGTTGAGGAGAATGTGCAGCAGGAAGTTGGTGGTGGTCTGCTGGGAGAAGAATGGATGCACGCCGGGAAGCCGCAGCGCCTCCACAGCTTTGCCAACCGTCTCCGCCAGCTCTGCTGCACTCGCTTGGTCAAACGCAGCCGGCAGCGGCGGCGTCGACATGTCTGCAGTGGTGGGCGCTGATGATGATGCTGATGCTGATGATGATGATGTTGATGGGGCGGTGGTGGCGCTGTCCTTCTTTGCGCCATCTGACTGCTTCTTCGCCTTCTTCTTCCCCTTTTCATTCACACGAGGATCATCGACATCACCACCAGCAACACCAGCACCGTCATCACCAGTCACCCCTGTAGATGCCCCGTTTTGCTTCCCCTTCTTTCCCTTCTTCTTTGACTTTGCACCACCACTCCCATCACCACCACCGCTACCATTTTCGCTGCTGCCATCTGCACCCCCATTCCCACCAGCCTTCTTCTTATTTCCGTTGGAAGCCACCCCGTTCTCCTTCACCTTGTCCTTCCCTTTACCGCTCTCATCACCACTACCACCACCACCGCCGTCACTGTTTCCCTTTGCCTTTGCGCCACCACTCTTGTCCTTGACGCCCTGCCCCTTATCCTTCTGCTGCTGCTGCTGCTGCTGCTGCTTTGCCTTGCGGCTGTCTGCGGCCAGTGCAGATGTGACAGCATTGCGCCCGGCACTCGCCCCCGTGCGGTCAAACACACGCAGCGTCTCCTTGATGGCGTCGGGCCAGTCGCTCAGCTGGTTCCACTGGCGCCGGCGGTCAGTGGGGATGAACACGTGCGGCGCCTGCACCTGCGTCGTGACGAGGCGCACATTGAACAGCTTCTGCAACACAACATCGAGGTGGTTGTCGTCCACGCACAGAAACCCCTGCAGCATCTGCCGCACGCTGCTGAAGAAGGCCACGCTGTTGAGGTCCGCCACGCAGAACACCCCGCCAAGCGCGCTGTTGCGCACAAGCGGCTCAAACGTGCTGAGAATCTCCAGGTAGTCTGACGAGGAGAGCACACTCGACATCACCACGCGGTCAATGCGCTGCACCTTGTGCGGGTCGTTGGACACCGGGTTGCGAAAGTGCGTCACGGGGTCATCCACAACAAACTTGAGCTGCACGCGCTTGGTGGCCAGGCAGCGCTGCGTACGCACGGAGAGAAACCGCCAAAAGTGATACAGGTCCTCGCACAGCGTGACCGGGTGGCCGCCGGCGCCAATGTGGTTAAGGAGGGGCCCCGTTGCACTCATGCAGCTCTCATAGTAGTCGTACTTGAGAGGATCAACCGTCGTCAGCTGCTCCGCAACGCGCCAGGGACTCTTGTACCCGCCAAGCAGCGCTGGGATACACGTGCAGAGGGAGGGTAGGGTCAAGGCAGAAGGAGAGAGGAGAGGGAAGGGTGATTCGGATGGTTGAGTTGTGGAGGAAGAGCAATGAATTGTGCGTGTGCGTGTGCGTGCATGCGTGCGTGTGTGTGTGTGTGTTTGTTTGTTTGTTTGTTGTGTGTGTGTGTGTGTGTGTGTGTGTGCGTGTGTGTGTGTGTGTGGTGTGTGTGTGTGTGTGTGTGTGTGTGTGTGTGTGTGTGTGTGGTGACGAGCAAGGATGTTGGAGTAGAAGAGGGAAGTGGGCAAAATGCGAGGATAGCACGTAACAGGGGTACATGTGTGCAATGCAGAATGGGCGCTCACCAAGGGAAGCGTTCATGGGATCCATCATCGTAGGGTTCACATCGTACGCATCTGTGGGGACGGGCGACATGAGTGAGTGGTGGTAAAGGTCGGCGCAGTCAATGTGCAGGCAATGCGGCCGGTACAGGCAGTGCAGTAAATAGCAAGCGAGGGAAGCAAGAAGGACACAGCTTTGTGCACAATTCCAGCTATGTCTGGCATCAAGTCACGCCTCACGCCCTTGTGTGTTCAAGGGGCCACCCCCACCATTACAAGCAGCACCACAGAAAGGAGCAGCGGTATACAATCATCATCACCATCACCACCACCACATCATCCTTCCATCCATGCGTGGCCCCACCTCCGCCGGAGAAGACTTGGTCGCGGATGCTGTTGGGGATGGACAGCTTCTTGCTGCGATCAAACTGCTCCTTGTCGTCGTACGTGTGTCGCAGCGGCCAGCACAGCGGCTCAATCACCTCTGTCCGGTCCTCCATCTAGCACACAGAGGCAAATCAGCATGGTCAGTGGTGGTTACGTGTGTGTGTGTCTGTCTGTCTGTGTGTGTGTGTGTGTGTGTGTGTGTGTGTGTGTGTGTGGCTGTGCTTGCATACTCCAGACAAGGGTTTACACAAGACAATGGAGAGGAGGCAGGCATCAACCGCTTCAACACAGCCATCCACCACCTACCCCCTTCCCCGAAATGATGCGAGCACTTACCCGCGACATGAGGTGCTCAATGTACGTCGTCGGATCCATCCCCTGAAACAAATGGCAGGGAGGACAATGGCGAAACCGTCATGAGCTGCACGTGAAAGAGCAAGCGGGAACAAAATATGCATCGGTGGTACATATCACGGCCGCATATCACACGCCGACGCACAGACACATACGCCACGCACACACACACATACACAAGTACGCACAAGCACACACAAGCACACACACACAAGTACGCACAAGCACGCACACACATACACACATACACACATACACACGCGCGCACCTCTGGCACGACGCCCTTCTGTTTGTGGCGGCTGAAGAATAAGCGCAGCCACTCGTCCGCCTCCGAAATCTCACGCAGCTCGTCCATCACAGCTGGCGGCACGAGCGCGTATGCGTATGAATGTGTGTATGTGTGTGTGCGTGAGTGAGAGAGCGTGTGTGTGTGTGTGTGTGTGTGTGTGTGTGTGTGTGTGTGTGTGTGTGTGTGCGTGAGAGAGAGTGTGTGTGTATGAATGTGTGTGTGTGGGCGCGCGGGTCGAGTTTGTAAACAAGTACGGTTAACGAATGGCCACGTAAGATTGTTGGCAACAAGCTGTTCAACCCGCCCGTACGGAAGCAAACCTCCCCCCCCCCCAAACATCGCTCGTTCACACGACCATCGTCACACGACAACGTCACACACCTTTGCGTTTGCGCATGTGCATCTCCTGGTTCTTGAGCGGGTGGCCGAGCTTGCGGCGGTCGAGGACGTCGCCAATCTGCCGGTCCAGCACCTCCTCGGGGAACCGGTCCCGCAGTGCCCACGTGTTCATCACACGCTAGTCGTGGTGGTGGCAGAAGGAAGGTGAGAACGTGCGGGTGCTCGAGCGAGAATGGAAGACAGGGGCATGCACATATGAACAACCACGCAAGGCACATACACGTAATGCACGCGCACGTGCGTAACGCATGCGAATACACACCTGGACCTTCTTCCAGCACTTTGGTTGAATGTCGACCCATGAGAGGAGGTCGGTGCGCGTGCGGTTGCGCGACACGGCAGTCTTCAGGCTCTCGCTCAAGCTGCAGGCAAACTTCTTGGGCAGCTTGTACCCAAAAAAGAGGTGGGACAGATAGGTGGCCTCCACAAGCGTCTCGCTCGACATGCACGCCGTCGTCTCGTTCCGCGCCAGGGACAGCTCGTCTGCAGCACAGGGGATCGTGAGGGCATGGGGTGTATGTGTGAGGACAAGAGAAAAGGGAAACAAGAGCAAAGCCGACGCACGCATGCACACACATACACACACACACACACACACACACACACACACACACACACACACACACACAAGGCCAATGCGTGTGTTTCAAGACAACGCAAAACCATCTGCACCGGTGACTTTCCTCCCGTGCACAACACCCATTGCGCCGCCGCCGCCACCGCCATCACCACCACCATCAATATAATAGATGCGCGCAACATGCACTCACTCTTCATGACGAGGCGCTTGCAGAATGCGAGGATGCTGTCGAAGATGAGCATGGTGCGGGCGATGACTGCCGGGTTCTGGTCGCAGACAATCAGCTCCAAGGCCGTGTCGCCCGCCACTTGCATGTCGCACACCTTGGACAGCAGCATGTCAAAGTGCGACAGCGTGGCGAAGATGTGCCGCGGGTCCCCGGCGCCGGCCAGCACAACCCGGATGGGATCCTGGCGCGATGACGGAATTGTGGTCATGAGTCGTGGTGGTGGTGGTGGTGGTGGTGGTGGCGGTGGTGGTGTGAGAGGGCAGGTGTAGAGAGGGGTGGTGTGAGGGGTATCGTGATGTGTGTATGCGCGCATTCGTGTGCGGTCATGAGCGTTGCGTGCACTCATGTGCATGTCTTTGCGTGCAGGTGTATGTGAGTCAGTGGCACCTTGTTATCTGCACGCTGCTTGATGTACTCCGCATCGGACGCCTTGTCAGTCACTTTGTCTGTACACCGCAGTCCAATTGCACCATGAAACACAATGTCAGCGTTGTCGACGGTCGACAAGCACGTGCACAAGCGTTCGATAGATTCTCACTTCCCGCAATGCAAGTCCCTCAACAACCACCCCAGCTGCCACAGACACCACCACGATCGCCGTCACCATCGCCACCATCGCCACCGCGGTGCAGTTGTACCTGGCATTGGTTCGAGGACGGACATTGGGGTGTCGTCGGTGAAGATCTGATACGGCTCGTACGGCTGGATTGTCGCCCGCCGCCGCCGCAAAGTCCGCTGCACCTGAGGGCCGAAGTAAACCGTGGCCATCATCGTGGTGGTGGTGGCGATGGTGGTGGTGGCGGTGACATGTGAGCGGCGGTACATACAGGTGTGTGTGTGAGTGTGTGTGTGTGTGTGTGTGTGTGTGTGTGTGTGTGTGTGTGTGTGTGTGTGTGTGTGTGTCACATGGGTCCAACAACAGCATGAATGGTGCTTCTCTTCAAGCAGCACGGACGCGAACCTTTGCTGGAGCGACGGCGACGACCTTGTCGTGCTCTGGGATTGGATCGCGCGCCGAACGCACAGACTGAACCAGACAGTCGCAGGATCACACACACATGTGTACACATGCACAGATGTACACACGTGTACATGTGACAACAGCAACACTATGAACAAATGCGAATGCTACCAAGACACGCACATAAACACGAGGCAAACGAGGCAACCCCCCCCCCTTCCAGCGCACACGCATGCAGGAACATGCGCAACCAAATACACGCCCACACATTTGCCCACATGCTCCCCATGCAGGCCACGCACCCGCATGCGCAGATAGTGATCAGCAGCAGCCATGAACCGCTGCGTCTCCGCCGTCTGGCCCTCCGTGTCCCGCAAGAGCGCTGACGATGGTGATGGTGGCGGTGATCATGAGGCACGTGACACATGGAAGACGAGGCTTGTCGATGAAGAAAACTTGGGGTTCAGTGGCAATATGCAAGTTTAGCATTGAGTATCAGGGCAGTGTGCACTTACAGCGGCACTCTGCCAGTTGATCGGTAAAATACAGGCACTTTGCCATGCGGTGGGTGACCTATCAAAGTGCGTTCACGTTGCAAACACCAACAACAGCAAAAGCAGATGAATGGTGGTAGACCAACGTATGTAGATGACGCAACGTTCTTTGCATGACCCTGATGTTTGACTTGTGTTATGCCTAGACCCGCGGACACCCCACACAACACACAGACATACACACCCACACAACACGCGCGCGCACAACACACAGACAACACAGACAACACACACAGACAACACACCTTTGCAGTGAGCTTGTCGCCTGGCTGCATCATGTCGAGAGCCGTCTTGCAGTCTGCGGCTGCACCTGCATATTGACCTGTCTCATAAAAGGCTGCGGCACGGTTGGCGAAGAATGATGGGTTTGTGTGGTCCAGGCGGATGGCCTAACGGGTGATAGAGCATGTGATGCAGACGCATGTGTGAGCTCGACAAGGCACTTTGGTCTTGCTGTTGTTATTCACCTGGTACACGCACACACGCACACACACGCACACGCACGCACACTTGCTCAAGCAAGCCTGTTTGCATTCCCGCCCCCACCCCCCCCCCCCACGCACACACACACAACCACTCAATGGCGAACCATGGAATAGTAGAGGATGGCATTCTTGAAGTTGCGCTTCTTGTAGAACTCATTGCCCCGCTCCTTGAACTGTTTGATAAGCATGGAGGAAAAGCGCATGAGTAACTGGTGCTAGAACACACACACACACACGCACACACACACACAACACGCACACACATACACACACACACACCACGCACACACATACACACACACACACCACGCACGTACTTTGAGCGCCTCTGGCTTGAACTTGGGCGATGTTGTTGACGATGAGGACGACATGGTGCAGGGTGCTGTTGCACACACAACGGTTGGCTGTCACCCGCGTGGATGTGGCGAGGAACCAAACGGCAAAACGTATCTCCTGCTCGACACTTGGTCTGCTGTGGCCTGACAGAGCGCAGCACAGCACAGATCACCCCCCTTTGTTGACGGACTCGACTGGCACGGCGATCCTGCTGCGCCAAGTGCTTGGGTTTGCTCCGTTCAGCTGCTTCGTCGTTGCTGTTGCTGTTTGCCTCTCACTTCGTTTGCCTCGCACACGGAACACACAAAAGCGCACGGCCAAAGGCAAAATTGCCTTTAAAGCCAAGGCAATTCTGACAGAGCAAAAAGAAGAGAGGAGAAAGAAGGAAAGTGCATGATGGACGAGGCAAAGGTGCTGGCTGAGCTGGAGCGGCTGGGGCTGGACGATGAGACGACGGCATCGTACGTCGTGTCCATGCTGGAAGTGGACGAAGAGCAAGACGAGAGTGAGGAGCAGGAAGCAGTGGAGGGCCTAAAGGAGTTCCTGGAGGACGCAGCCGAGGATGAAGCGCTGGTGGACAGCGTGACTCAGGCCATTGTGCAAATGTGGAAGGATGCCAAGCAACAGGCTTCCACTGTGCCCGCAACACTGGCAGACAAAGAGCCAGCCAAACCAACCCTGGCAGGCAAGTGCATTGCCAAGCTTTGTGCGTGTGTGTGTGTGTGTGTGTGTGTGTGTTTCTGTGTGACCTGCCTGTTTACGTGCTGAATGACCACGTGCTTGTTCACGCGCTGCATAGCCACCTGCCTGTTCACGTGTTCACACCTGCACGCAACGCGCCACACAGAGATTGCCGCGCAGCACTCCGCCAAGTTGAAGGAAGAAGAGAAGCGCGTCAGGGAAGCAGAAGCACGCGCAGTCGTCTCGGACGATGTTCGCAAGGCGGTACTCAAGGCATGCGGTGAGGAGCCGGTCGATGCTTGGGTTGTGTGTGCTGCGCTGTGCTGTACTGTGCTGCGCTGTGCTGTGTTACTTTGTCTTGTCTTGTCTTCTCTTCTCTTCTCTTGTGTGGAAATCGTCCTGCTTGCGCTCGTTGAACATGGTGATTTTGTTCACACGTGTTTGTATCGCAGGGGACCTGGGCGAAGATGATGACGAGGATGAGGAGGGGGAAGATGGTGACAACAAGAGCGAAGGACACCCGCGAACGAGACCCGTCAGCGAAAAGAAGATCCGCAAGCAGCGAAAGCAGGCCAACGCCAACGACCTCGCAGGTCTGCATGTGTGTGAAAGGATGTGGTGCGTGGCATTGATCCCCGTTGTCTGTACTTGCGGTGCCCTAGTCCTCACGCGTGAGGCGAATGCATTGCATTTTCCCGTGTGCGTTGCAGTCAACTTTGTCAACACAAACCGCAGTGCGGTGGCGGCAGTGGAGCAGCAGAAGCGAGAAGCGCACCAGGCAGAATCAAAGGCCCGCGTGAGTTTTGTTTGTGTGTCTGCATGTGTGTGCGTGTGTGTGTGTGTCTGTGTCTGTGTCTGTGTTTGTTTGTTTGTGTGTGTCTGCATGTGTGTGTCTGTTTTGTGTGTGTGTGTGTGTGTGTGTGTGTGTCTGCATGTGTGTGTGTGTGTCTGTTTTGTGTGTGCGTGTGTCTGCATGTGTGTGTGTCTGTTTTGTGTGTGTGTGTGTGTGTGTGTGTGTGTGTGTGTGTGTGGTGCACACAGGAGTTGTTGGCACCTGATGTGCCCCTTCCAATCCTTTTTTGAACTCACAACCTCATACACGCACACCCGTGCGTACACCCATCCATCCATCCCAGACTGCGCGCAACAAGGCTGCTTTGGCGGCAGATAAGCAGCGAAAAGAAAAGGCAAAGGAGGAGAGGAGGAAAAAGACACAGAAGCAAGAGCGCAGGCGTTGATAGATGGTGGTGACATCAGCAGCAGCGCAACACACGACTGCACCAATGTGCGGGGAGGGACGAGAGAGGGTGGAAATGGTCGAGAAGTTGAATTGTCTGTTTGTCTGTGAGCTCGCACTTTGTGCCCTTCCCAATTTGTACTGAGAAAAGAAACTATGTTGGGTGGTTCACATGCTGTGCTGCTTGTCTGTTTGTTCCGAAGCATGGTGTATGTACCATAAACGAATTCAAGCCAGCCAGTGATCCTACATTGCTGCTGTGAGGAAGCAGAGGTTGTACTTGCTTATGACGAAGCAATAGCAGAGAATAGGTGAACATGACTGTTGTGCACATGGCAATTATGGGCTCGCAGCCCCATGGTACTTGTGACGCTTCAAAGTGTCATTCAGCGCTGACGATAAAACCTGCATGGCCCATGGTCTTATGGTGTATCACTAAGTCGAATACTACGTTGTACACAAAGGTAAAGAAGAAAAGAAAATGTAAAAGTGGTCATGTCACAAAGTAATGTTTGCAAACAACCATGATGCAAGCAAGCAAGCAATCAACCAAATAAACAAACACGAACACAACCAATCACACATCCACACACACACACACACACACACAAACAAGGCGCCCCAAAAGACACTATTGCAGGCGCCTGACGGCTGCGGCGACATCGCGGGCGAGCACGTGCTTGGCTGCGCGGTCCTCTGGGTCCAAGCGGTGGAATTGGCGCGAAAACACCGCCTCCATCGTCGCCCTGACACTGCCGTCCGGCGCCGTGGGTGTCCCTGTTTCCGGGCAGCGCGAGGGGAAGTCAAAATCGCCAAACGGCAAGATGGCCCGTCCGCGGCCAGGCACATCAACACCCTCTGCCAGGCCAACAGGAAAGATGGACATGCGCCCTTTGCTTGCAAGCATCACGGCCATCTCATACTCCAGCAGCACGTTGTCGACGGGCGAGGTCGGCGTCACGTTGTGCAAGCCATTGCACGGGCCCGTCTCACAGAGCGAGCGGTGGGACATGAGCGGGAGGAAGAGGCGCGAGCGGCGCAGGGCATCTTGGAACGTCTGCTGCCAGTCGTGTGACGGCAAGATGGAGTCTGCATCCAGGAACACCCGGAGCTGCGCGTGCTGCAGCTGGTCTGCAACGCCCTCGGCAGCCACACGGTCGCACTCTTTGCGATAACTGATAAACACGTCATACTCGTACTCGGGCCACTCCTCCCCATTCTCATCCTTCTCCTTCTCCTTCTCTTGTTTGTCTTGCTTCCCTTCCTCTCCACTGCTGCCGCCGCTGCTGCTTCCCTCTGCCTGTGCTTCCTCGTGAGCGGCCTGCGTGCGCGCGTTGCCGTCACTGCCACCATCTGCAAGGTGATCGCTGTTGCCACTTTTATCTCCTTCCTCCTCCCCCTCCTCGCTGCTTCCTCGCGGCTTGGGCAGCCATGCCCGGTCCACCGTGCTCAGCGACGGCACAGGCGTGTCTTCCGTATGGGACTGCACCTGTGTGATCTTGGCGCCCAGCCACGCGGGCGTGGCAACCGGGCGCGCGTCATACAGCTCACGGGACTTCTTCAAGGGGTCAAGCAGGTGGACTGGCGACGGGCGGGTGCCGGCCTTGCCAAGACATGAGTGGATTGCGGTCTGCAGCAGGTCCTCGTTTGCTGCGTCCCGCCTGGCCAGGTCCGTGGTTGGCTCCTCCACCTGCGGCAGCTCAAACGCGCTCACGCGCCGCTTGTACTCTTCCAGCGTCGTACAGCCAGACCCATCGTAGTGGTACGCCTTTCGCTGGTGCAACAGCTCAAACAGCACCACGCCCAGGCTGAACACGTCAATGGCCTTCGTCCACCCTTCCGTGCTGAACACCTCCGGGGCGGCGTAGCCAGGGGTGGACACGACGTCCGTGAACTTGGTGTCTGCCCTCTCCTCGGCGCGCGCGCAGCCAAAGTCTGCCAGCTTGACGTGAAAGTTTGCGTTGACGAGAAAGTTTGGCGTGTTGATGTCGGCGTGGATGATGGAGGGCGTGCGGGAGTGCAGGTAGTGCACGGCGCTGATGGCTGCTCGCATGCAGTGCAGGGCCTGCGCGGCGGTGAGCGGGCAGCAGGGGTCAAACAGGAAGCTGTGCAGCGACATGTCCATCGCCTCCATCAGGTAGAAAGGCACAAGCGGCAGCTCCTGCTTCAGGTCACGAATGGTGTCTGTGCTCTCGTGCTCCTCAAGCGCGGTGATGGGCATCTGGCCGTGGCCCAGGAACGCCACAACGTTTTCGTGGTTGATCCTGACCTGGCGCAGAAGGTTGATTTCCGCAGTGAAGGCATCCACCATGCCCACGTCAAGGACAATGTTGCGCAAGTGCAGACACTTGAAGGCGGCCACGGATGCGGTGATATGCTCACACGACACCTTTGCCACCTGCACGCGGCCGTGTTGTCCACGCGGCTTGTCCAGGAACTCGTGCGTAAGCGAGACTTCCTCAAACGAAACCGCTTTCATGGCATGGTTAATCTTGGAGAACCATTTGTCGCGGGCATCCATCGAGCTTGCGCTCATGAAGTAGGTGCGGCTGGGCGTGTGCAGGTTGAAGAGGGGCTTGGTGAGGTCGGGGACCTCCACCTCAAAGATGTCGGTGAGGGGGATGGTGCCGCGTGGCTTCTCGCCTTGCCATTCCGTCTTGGTGTATGTGAGTTGTGTGTCGCTCAGGACGAGCCAGCGGCGCTGCCACATGTGTGGAAAGTTGCCTTGCTTCTTCTCAATCCAGTCGCACATGGTATCAGCGACGCCCCGGCGCACGCGTCGTCGGGCCTTGACGGACGGTTTGGCTTTGAACTCGAGGACGAGTGGGTCCTTCTTCTTCATAATCGTCGGTCCCATGCGGGCCTTGATGTCTGCAGCGACCGTCATGAAGGCCTCCTCCACGTTAATGTTGTTTTTTGCACTAACCTCAAGAAAAGGCATGCCAACATTGTCTGCGAACTCCTTGGCAGTGGCATGGTCCACTTGCTTCTTTGCTTCCAGATCGATTTTGTTGCCGAGGAGAAGCCTGTTGACGTTCTCGTGAGCGTAGCGGTCAATTTCTTGGAGCCAGTAGTTGACATTGTCGAAAGAATCCTTGTCGGTGACGTCATAGCAGACAATGATCCCGTGCGCGCTTCGATAGTACGATGATGTGATAGTCCGAAACCGGGATTCATCACCATCCATGTCCCATATCTGGAGCTTGATGACTTTGCCATCCAATTCCACTGTGTGGTTCTTAAAGTCGACCCCACCTCCGGACGATGTGAAGTGGCACTGAGTAAACGTATCCTCTGCGAAGCGAAGCAGTAAGCACGACTTCCCAGCCCCGCTCTTGCCAACAAGCAAGAGTTTGAACAAGTAGTCGTACTCAGGGTTCATGTTGGCTGGCTGTTATGGTCGTAGTACTCGTAGTAGGCTGGAGTAGAGTGGGGTGGTCTGGTGCTGTGGTGGTCGGCTTCGAGCCTTCGGTGAGCTGAGGAGCTGGTCTATGAAGGCGAATAGGCGAATGGAACTGCTGATTTGAAAGTAAGAAAGTACTTGACTTCACTAACTGGCCACCGTGCCTGTCGTGTCGGGTGCCGTCGCTTCTCTTGCGCTTGCTTGCGCTTGCTTGCTTGGTGGTCGTGGTGAGTGCTTGTGCAGGAGTGCGAGCGCAGAGGCAGTGTCCTGAGTGTCTTTGCGCCTTCGAAGTTCGCGTCGCGGTGTCGCTGTGCTGCTCCTTTTGATATCTGCACTGGTGCTGATTTGGCGCGTGTGAGATGTGAGACTGATTCAAGTCTTTTATGATGTACTATTTGTATGCTGTGCGTGCCCATGGTATGTCCTATTTATATCCCATTTGGTTGCTCGACCTCCCTTCATTTCCTTCGCTTTTCGTGTTTCGAGTCCACGTCCTCATTCGTTGGCTGACGACGACTTTGGGGTGCGTGCCTTGTCATTGTGTGTGATGTGAGTGTTTGTCTTGCTTGCTTGCTTGCTTGCTGTGACGTTGCTCTGTGCCTGAGTGTGCATCGAACACGGACAGCGGGAACACCACATGTGTGTCGTGTATGTGTGTGTCTGGGTTTCCTTCGCTTTCCTCTGCTGTTGCTTCGTGTGTGCGTGCTTTGTTGCATTGTTTGCCACCCCCCATCATTGCGCGGAGACACAGAAGCACGGGTTGTGTCGCTTCCCTCTCTCTCTCTCTTTGTCGTTGTGCACGCGTGGACATTTCGCGTTGTCGTGACACCGCCTTCTTTCCCTTCGCTTCTTCTTCTTCTATCTATCAGCGTGGTTGTCGAGTTTGTTCTCGCTGTGTGTGCCAACTCACGACTCGCTTCTCCTCTGTGCCACACACACACGCACACACGCACAGCTTTCCCTCCCCATATTTCAGACACAGCGGAAACAGCGGTACGTGCATCTGTGTGTGTGTGTGTTGTGTGTGTGTGTATACCTTGAGTGTGTATCTGCATCCATGTTTGCTTCTTCGATGATTCTCTCAAAACCCTCCCTCCACATCAACACTGTGTCGCATATCCCACGTCTTCATCTCCCACGTCTTCCTCTCTCATTTCACGTCCCTCCTCCACACGCTCACCTGACGTTTCGTGATGGACTTGATTCGCATGTTTGGCTCATCTGCGGACTCTGCTGCGCCCGCGCTCGCTGCTGGCTTGGACAACTACCACGACAGCGTCATGTTTTTGGTGGACTGGTTCTGGGGGCTGCTGTCCTCGCTTGGCCTGGCCAACAAGAGCGGCAAGCTCGTGTTCCTTGGCCTTGACGCCGCAGGCAAAACCACCCTCCTCAACATGCTCAGGGACGGTCGCGTGCAAGCAGCACCGCCCACCCTCTATCCAAGTAAGTGCATCTGCGTGTGTGCGTGTGTGTTTGTGTGTTTGCGTGCGTGAGCGTACGTGACTGCGCTTGTGTGTGCGCAGCTGTGCATGTGTGCATGTGTGCATGTGCGTGGTTGTGCATGTGTGCATGTGCGCGTCTATTCTTGTGTGTGTGTGTGTGTGTGTGTGTACGAATCCCATGTACGTGCATCACCGCTCTGTCTTCCAGGTATCCCCCTTCTCATGCACCCCACCATCACCACTTTTGTTGTGTTTGCGTGACCATTGCTTGTTGCGCACAGCTGCGGAGGAGCTCTCCATTGCAGGCATCACATTCACAACACACGATCTTGGTGGTCACAAGCAAGGTGGGCACACCCAACAGCACTGCCTTCACACCAAATGCTCCTGCTGTTGTTGTACGCCGCCCGTGTGTGCGTGCGTGCGTCCGTCCGTGCGTGCGTGCTTGCACTCAAGGCCTCACCTCCATCCTTCAAGTTCAAGTGCTCTTCTGCGCCATCACACAAGCTCACCTTCCAACACACACACACAATACACAACACGCCATATTACATACAACCAGCGCGCCGCGTGTGGAAGACGTACTTTCCTGCTGTGAATGCGATTGTGTTTATGGTGGATGCGTCGGACCGCGACCGCTTCAAGGAATCAAAGGCAGAACTCGACGTGCGTACGCTGCCGCATGTCACAATGCACACACGGAAAACGCGTTTGCTCTGCGCAAGAACACACACACACTCTCGCTCACTCACTCACACACACACACACACACACACACACACTCACTCACTCACACACACACTCACTCACTCACTCACTCACTCACTCACTCACTCACTCACTCACTCACTCACTCACTCACTCACTCACTCACTCACTCACTCACTCACTCACTCACTCACTCACTCACTCACTCACTCACTCACACCCCCTTCCCAAATATATTTGTGCAGGCGCTGCTGGGGGACGAGGCCATCTCGAACATCCCAATTGTTGTGCTCGGCAACAAGATTGACATCCCCGGCGCCGCCGGCGAGGAGGAGTTGCGGGCTGCGCTTGGTCTCATTGGCCAGACGACGGGCAAGGGCACGGTGCCCAAGTCCAGCCTGGCCAGTCGCCCGCTCGAGCTGTTCATGTGCACTGTCATCAAGAAGCAGGGCTATGGCGACGCCTTCCGCTGGCTCTCGCAGTACCTTTAAACGCACCCGCAACCCGCAGCAACCCCTTCCCCGATGCAATGTGGCGAGGGATTGACTGATCAAGGCAGATTGGAGTGGCGTGTATGACGTGTGTGCGTGTGTGTGTGTTGTGCAGTTTGAGCGTGTGCTTGGCTTGCACACTCGCCTTCCCGCACACGTGACTACTGCGCCGTCTTCATCCTGTACCACATAGGCAGGCCACATCATGTGTGACAACCCAGCGTGCAGTGGTGCTTTGGTGTCAGACAAGGAGTGACACGTTGTGTGTGTGTGTGTGTGTGTGTGTGTGTGTGTGTGTGTGTGTGCGTCGGCCGCGCAGACGATTATATCTCG